TGGCATTTACCCTGTGCTTCTGCAGAAGGGAATGGACATCATCTTGGGACTACTTACAAAAACTCTCAGAGCCAGCGTGGCCTTGAAAACTCTACCACTGCGTACAGTTTGTCTGGTGAGAATTTTAAATCGTGTTTTTACCCAAGTCTGGGAAAAATGGCTACGTCAAGCTGAGAGACTTCAGACTTGTCACTCCCACTTCTTTCATTTTCATAAGGCTAAAAAGACTGATGGACAAATATACAAAAATCTCAAGTCAACGACAGGCTACCCACAGACTGTGACTGGCTGCGAGCTTCTATGGTTCCAGCAGGTCGTTAGGCAGAGATTTAATTGTTGTTAGAACCTGAAAAGGGATGCGGCTGAGGGAATGCGATTCTCAAAAAAATAAATAAAACATGTAATTGTCGGGGACAACAATTTTAATAAAGCAGAGTGTCTCGATACAATAAAAAAATAATAAATAAAATACCCCTAAATCAGTTAATCGTTACTGAATTGCACAATGTAATTTTAAAAGTCACTGTCGTCTAATTAAATTAACAATAAATGTTTTTCTGAAGTAGAATAATTTACAACAAAAATAAATAAATAAATAATTAAAAGTCAAATAATCAGTTCAAAAAAATAAATAATCAAAATTAATAAAATATCGTAAGCAACTGTGTCATGAGAGTCAATTGTTACGGATCGGAAAAATCAAATGAAAAATTAGAAAATCTCAAAGAAATTAGTCAAGACAAAATTCAGTGACTCGAAACTAGAATAACACAAAATCGATAAGTCTACGTGACCTTTCAACTCACAAAATGAAAACAAAACGGAGACAAATTTAAGACAAATAATTACGAGGTCACGAAACCTTCCAAGTAAATAAAATCAGAACGAAATTCAATGGCGAGAAGATAATCAAAATTAACAACACTGACAAAATTCTAAAAGTCGCGAAACTTTGACAATCCCAGAGAAATAATTCTGTCAGATAGTTACAAACAAGAATAATAGAATTATTTAAAATGAAAAATAATTCACTGATTGAAGTGGTCAGAAATTTCCTAATAGAAACGATTCACATATAATCCTGCAGGACTCGGACGTCCGAAACATCAAAAATAAATCAACTATCGAATCTCTGTCCACTGAAATAATAACAAATGAGAAGAGCGACCACCACCCTCACCCAAAACTCCTAATGATCAACATCCGAGATGTTGAGAATCCCCAAAAGTGGTAGAATGGCGTCCTTCAGCGTAATTAGTGTCCCTCGTCACAAAATCTGACACAGGTCCGCTCCAATTAACCACCAAACAGGAAGTAAATTTGCGACGCACGTGATTACACGCAACAGGTGGCTAACGCGACTTAACGATATGATTGGGGGATGACAACGTTATCATCCACCAATCCCAATTAATCGGGCATGCGCGACAGATACGAATTATTCCAAACGCATGCGCTCTCAAATTTTGCGATGCTTAAATATAATTTTCTGTTCGATAATAACGAGAATAATATCTCAGCGCTTCCCAAATATTTTAGAAATCATTCCTGGGGTATCTGCTACCCTCAGAGAGATAACTCTCACATAATTCATAATTAGCGAATTTTCTGCTGATCGCCAATCAGCCAAGTGTGTCAATCACTGCATCACTTTCGGTGTTATTACGGACTGAATTGTGGCTCCATTATCGGCCACATCCAAAAACCAGTCAAATGCCAAAATTTAAAGGAGCCTGACGACATCTTACAGCTTCCTGGAGATCCTCGATGATGCCTTCAGAAGGAGCGGGTAATTTTGATTTAAAATAAGAAAACAAATAAAATTTATTGAATACCCCTCCTCCCTCAGGACTCGTAGGTGACTTCCCGTCTGGTGGAAGTCAACAGAATGACGCGAAACGGCTAAGGAACAGTAACTGGTCAAAATATCACGTTATAGTGAATGAAACAGCAAACCAGAGTGTCGCCTGGTTGTTAAGGATACAATCAGAAAAGACCGTAAAATCCGGCAGAGGTGGGGGTTGGTACCTCTACAAATAGTTCCGAAACCATTCACAGACGAGAGCACAGAACGGTGGGGTTCGTCCATTCTTGCAACAGGACAGACAATGAGTTCCGAGAAGTTCCAATAAGTTACCCCCTAGTTGTTAAGGACACAGGTAGGAAAGACTGATAGTTTACCGATGAGCTGCCAGTGGATGAGTGCATGACCAAAGATCGTCACTGTCCCCTTTCCGGGGCGCAGTGAGAACACCTGGAGACTTCCCGCGAAATGCCGTCGTGGCGGATGGATGAAAATGGAACGCATGCGGGAGTACTGGGTCGCTCAGTATGCTAGGTTAGGGAGAAAGGGTCGGAATTCTTTTAAGTTGGCCGGTTTCCGTTAGCGTAGAGAGGTTGATAGGGTAGGGAGGGTGATCGATAGCAGATAGTCGGTAGGGTAGCAAGCGATCGGTAATTAGGTAATGGTAGAATGTCAATAGCGGCCTCTATGCGCTAATATGGCGAGAGCCCAGAATATAGATGGACCTGGGGTTGGATACCGATAGCTCAGCACTAGGGCTGCAAAGGATAGCCATATGCTAAGCAGTAGGTTATACAGCCGCACTTAGTCAACGAGGGAACGGCTGTCCGAACCGGGGGACGAGTGGCCCGGGAGAGCGCCGAGGCAACTCTGACGCGTGGAGTGGAGAGTGCTCACCTAGTAGCTCTGCTCCCCACTCCCGACTCACGTGGCTGGAGTGTATGGGGGATCATCCTTGGTGCTTATCACCACAGAAAGGATATCCCTGTCGGTAAAGTTTCCTGGAGCGCGCCGAATTCAAATATTTCCAACCAAGCTGTCCGGGTAACCCCTTTTCTGGACCCTTGGCCATTTGAATGCCCGCCCCGTTTAACGTGGCACAGTTCCCTGGACTAGATAACCCACTGTTTCGACAGAGGAATCTCATTGGAAGCCGAGGTTCAGTACTATAACCTCAACTTCCCACGCTTGCAAAATTAGCGGACCTAATCGGTACGCCAGATAGCCTTTATTCCGGCAAATATAATTATTAACGCGACGAATCTTGTTATACGTACGCCGAAAAATGAAGAAATTAATTTCATTCCAATTACCGACGTCTGTCTAAAAAATTGATTTCATGCAATTTTTCTTTTAATGTAAGACTAACCAATAACCAAGATTGGCGTTTAATAAAAATAATTTGTCTCACGGATTTTTATGATTATTTTCGTACAACTCCAAAGTGCAGCTGCACAAAATAAATTTTTATTGCGTATGTTGAAATATCATAAATTCTCAATCAAACATTTCCAAAACCGAATTTTTGTGGGAAATAAGGTGGTAAAAAAAATATATATAAGTGCCGAATGTACCTCAAGTATCTGTCTTTATTTATCTCCCTCTCTCAAGGGTCCCAGACATCTACGTAACGATGCGGTCAGGACATAGTCCACACTAAAAAAAAATCTGTAATATACCACAGTCCAAATCAACAATGTGACAGAACATATATTCCTTTTCACTTTCATGAGGAAATAATAAATCCCTTGTTTTATTGTTCCACTACTGAAAATATCTGTAAATAATTGAATTTCTTATAATAATCAAGTTGAAGAACTTTTCACCCTGAAATATTTTGCAATGTATTGACTACTGAATCAATTATTTGGAGATAAACTCCGACCTTATTTTTCTTCAATTTATTTTCAAAATAGAAGCATAATCATTTCATCGAAATAGAAGGTTCCACTGCAATACATTTTCTTTGGAAAATGAGATGATAATGATGATGATTATTATTATTATTTTCAAGTAATAAGAATATGGATATAAAAATGGTGTTTCATGAAATAATCTTATTCGTCGTTGGGATATGAAATCCGCCTACACCTCAACATTCTCATGTGGATAAGATGGAGTTCACCCTTGAAATAGTGGGACTAGTTTCAAGGGAGGGAAATTGTGGACCAAGACTGACTGCCATTGGTTTCCGAATTTCCCCCCAATCTAACCTGAGGTCACACCCTTACGGCAAAATGATAAAACTACTGGCAATTTGTTAGTTAGTGTTGGTGCGTTGCGGTACATAGTTTTCTTTCATTTGTAGAATCGCTGATTAAATTTCAAATTATGAGACCAACGTTAAAGTGAAAACCCGTTTAGATTGGGGTAGAGGCCAAAGTCCCCAAATTTGTTGACATCGGGAGCAACTTCGAACTTGATAAAAACAAAAGAGGAACTTGTGTAGGATCAATATTGCTCGACGATATTCATTTCCTTTCGAGACTTGAGACAATTTTGAGATTTGAAAGTGATTTACGAGGCTCAGGTCTAAATTCATTTTAAGACTTGTAAATGATTAAGTGCTTTTTAAGTCTCGAGATAAATCCCGGACAAATTGAGGACTTGAAAATCTCTCGATTATATTCAAGTCTGGAGATAAATTTAGTTCCAAATTTGTTCCAAGACTCGAAAATCACTGGATAATTCTCAAGTCTTGGGACAAATGTGGTACTGAATCATTAAATAATTTTTGAGTCTCGGGACAAATTCGGGACTGAATTAATCCCAAGACTTGTAAATGATCGAGAGATTTTCAAGTCTTGCGGAAAAATTGGGGACAAATTAAGGACTTGAAAATCACTTGATTATTTTCAAGTCTCGACATAAATTTAGTTCTAAATTGGTCCCAAGACTTGGAAATCCCTTGATTATTTTCAAGTCGCGGGACTTAATTCATCTCGAGACTTAAAAATGATCAAGTGGTTTTCAAGTCTTGAGATAAATTCAGAAGGAATTAAATATTAAAGTCTGGAGAGAAATTCAGTTATAAATTTGTGCCAATATTTGAAAATTCTTCGATAATTTTCGAGTCTTGGAAATACAAAAAAAAAAGAGATTTTTCGATAGTTGACATGATTTCAATGATTCATTGGTGAGAAATAAATGTTTTAAATAATAATATCCAGTGCAACAATTTATTAGAACTCGTCTACAAAATAATGGCGCGGTGGCCGTGTCCGAAAATAATAAACTAAAATAATTATTATTTTTCTCTTTTAATAATGTCGAAGATAATTTAAATAGGTTGTGACGACACGCATGAATTTTTTGTGGGTCATCTTTCCTTCTGTTCGGGAGACCACGTAATCTTCGATTGAATCGAGTACTTCGAGAGTGATTTTAGGCCATCCTTCTTTTCCTGTTGCTCTCATTGTTTTGACCTTTTCTACCCCCACAAGCTCATTGAGTAGTCGCCGAATATATAACGTATGGTCGTCAGCAACCTCATGGAGGATTCTCCTCAACTAGTGGGAACTTATGAGGTCATCACTGCCTTCAATCAAGTGGACATGATCTAGACTCTCTTCTACCCCTGACGGTCCAGCGATTGGAGCCTCAGTGACAGAAAGTCCAGTCTGTCCCTCCAGCTCGACCTCATAGAAAATCGAAATGTATTGCACCTGTAAGGATGTTCTGCCCCTGTCCACCTATTTCCACATTTTTTTTGTCGATTTCTGACAAACCATCGATTGGATTGACGCGAAAAAAAACTATACCGTTTATGCGGTTTATTATTCTTTGATAACTTACGAAGTGTTACAATGGTTGCACCATGAGAAAACTTCATGCGTTAATAAATAATCATAAACTGCAGAAATGGTATATCTTTTTGCGTCAATCGCATCGACAGTCTACTAAAAATCTAGAAAAAACAGGAAAATTGGATGAAAGGGGATAGAACATCATCAATCTTACTGGTTGCGGAGGAGATCGCTGTGGTTTTTCAATTTCTGAAGGTCCAGGATGTGCCGCGTCGAGTGGTTTATTAGCACGTTCCTGAGATCCCGTCATTCCGGGAGGTTCAGGATTAACTCTCGACTCCTCAACAGGATTTATCTTATCCTGAAATCCCTCATATGCTGATCTCCTTGTCGATGATTGAGGTGTTGAGTCGATTCCCTCAGATAATACCTCTGAGCTCTCAGCTGTTGACACCGATGAATCAATAGCATCAACAGCACCTTTTTGCGTGGAGGAAAAAAATTAAATTGAAAGAATGAGGAACGAATCAATTTTTTTCAAATGTTGTATATTAATCACAGTCGATATTGGAAAAGAAAATTTGGGGAGAAAAAGAAAGTCTTGAATAAAATGGAACGAAAACCTGAAAGGAAAAATACTGAATGGAAAGCCACCGGTTCCGTGCCTCCAATCTGGGTAATTCGAGGCCGGGCCCGGTGACGAAGACCTAGAAAAAATTGGAGAAACACCTGAAAAAAAAAGGAATGAATTGACTCCGGTTCCGTGCCCACGAGCTGGGTAGCTCGGGTCCGAATCCGGCGTATAAAAACTGAAAAAAAAAATGAACAAACACCTGAAAAGAGAAAAAAAATGATTGGAAATCCGCCGGTTCCGTGCCTACGAGCTGAGTAGCTCGGGGCCGGGCCCGGTACGGCTTGGCTGAGTGAGGCGATAAAAAAAAACGGCGGATTGAGAGTCATGAATCAAACGAACAAAGGTCGCAAATATTTTCCTCTTTTTTTTTAAGAAATATTTCTTTTCGGATGACAAAGACTCACTAGTCGGGGGTGGTGATTCAGTGCAGACCTGTTCCTCATCACTTTCAGGCGGGGGATTATCTTCAAAAATCACGCCAGATATTTCTGCGCTTATCTCATCCACTTGTAAGGGCGTCTCACTGCTCAATGAGTCGTCACTTGATAGGCTTAAGTTGCACGGAAATTCTGCAAACGTCAATTCGTAAGCTGGAGAACCTAGCGAGCTACTGGAAGACAGAGATATCGATGATGTTGGAGTTCCTTGGTTCGCTGGCATTGCAGGCTCACTAGCAGAGGGGGATGTATCGGTGGAGCAACTGGACAACGATTGTGCTGAGGCATCATCTGTTTGCACCCCAGCAGAATCCAATGACTCTGAATTGAGGATACCGTCATTTTTTCCAGATCCTTACGATCATCTATCGAGTATCAAAATAGAATCAATAACTTGAAATTCTTTAAAATCATCAAATTACGACTTTTCTTTATGTGGAGAATAACTTACCGCTGGTTTTAATCAATCGCGCGACGTACTTCCGATCGCTGAACTACAAAACTGGGACTTCCGGTCCATTATCAATTAATTTAACGCGTTCAGATTCAATAACGGAATGGGTTTTGGGATTTCTCCCCGTGAAAAGCACGAGCGAAAACTTTTTCATGTCGGTGGTGAATGACAAGGGCACAATGAAACGTAAACAAATGAATACATAAAAAGTGAAGTCGAAAAATTGGGTTCGTTATTCAATTCGAGAAGGGCAGGGCAGGGGTTCTGAAAAGAGAGAAAAATGAGGAATCATTTAAGGAAGAAAACAAGGAGAATAATCTAGTGGTTGAGCGGCGATCTGTCAATATGTAGTGATTTTACTCAATAATGAGCCATTCCAGGAGAAACTCTCCGAAGAGAGTTTTGCCGAATGGAGGCATTGTAATCGTTCATATTTAAGTGGACAAATTTCAGAATTATAGATAAGGGAAAGCGGAGCAAAATGAGTCGTTTCGACTTTTCATTCAAATATTTATAATTCAGTAACAAATACATGAAATAAGTCCAGTTTAAGCGCATTATAAAAAGGAAGAAATGTACTTTTCATAGAAAAAAAATATTACCTTTGAGCAATAATTGAATAAATTATTTACGAAAGAAGTTTCTACAGTCCCATTGTGTCCCGCTTCCCTCCATAAATTGTCCTATAATTGGAATTTGACGAATGGCAGGGTGCCACTTCGCCACTCGATCATTTTTTTTCGGATTTGATTGTCAAACATGTCGTAACTCGAACTGCAATAATTACACTTTCTTGAAAATTAATTTTAGGCCCTTTGAATCTGTAGAAGGAGTAGATTGATAGGATACAGTCGACGGCTTTAGTTCCTTGGACTTTTCTGACTTGTACCCTACAGAAATAATAAAACGAAATTGTACAAATACTTTTTGGGACCTGCAATACTTTACGTTTCTCGAAATTAATCAGAGTCGATGTTGCTCTTAGGTACTCATAAGGAGTAAATCTCTTCCATTTTAATTTTTTTGTGAATTTTGTCAATTTTTTCTCCTTCACTGAATCACCTGAGCGACATGTGCTTCGAAATTCGCCATTAACAATTGTCGAATAATCGGATACCACTCAATTTTGTAATGAAGCAAGTTCACTTATCGATAAAAAAAATCCCCTATAATTATCAAAATCAATATTGAAGTAGAAGTTACATTATGAGGGGGCACTCACTCGATTAGACTAAAAAAGAGGCAATTTTACATGTTAGAAATTGATAAATAAATGGATTAAGAATGTGACCATTCAAAAATGCCATCTCTCGTCCAGTCCCATCTAACAGTTATTAAGGCCGGTAAATTGGCGCTAGCTGTGTAGCTCGGGACTGGAATCTCAGTGGGACCAAAAAAAAATCTGGAAGGAAATAAAAAAAAAATAAAAAAAAAAGAATTGGTTGAATGCCGCCGGTTCCGTGCCTCCGATCTGGGTTGCTCGGGGCCGGGCTCGGTAAGACTAGATTGGCTTAGAACTCCTGGATTCATCGGATCTGTAAGCATCATGATGAATCGCGAGAAGGAGGGGGGGGACTAAACAGGACAAGGGGTATATATATATATTGAGAATTAATTGAGGAAAAAACGCAATTCAATTTTAGTGGGTGCAATGTTTTCACGGAATTCAGAAAATGTTTCATAACTACTCCTTCGTCATAAAGCTCATTTTAGTACGGGTGAAATCCCAAGGTAGAGAGTGTCTGCCGAGCCTCTGGTTCAAGGTCCTGTTCCAAGACTCAGCCGCGTTATTCGTGTGGCGAGGAGCTTGTAACGAACATCGGGAATGTCCGTTAGGATCCCCACAAATAAAATTTAAAGAGAGAGGGAGACAAGTAGGGTACGGGTTAGGTTTAGGGTAAACTAGGAATTCCCCCCTGTGGGGTGGTTTAGAGCAGGGCTGGGCAAACTCTGCTCTGAGAGCAAGTCGTGCTCCCGACCTCTATTAGTGCGTAACAAAGGATAGACGAAACCCCATTGTATCGGGTGATGGGCCTTTATGACCCAGATCGTAAGGGCCCTTCTCCTCCGCTGAGATCAACCGAAGTGGGGGTGACGCTTAAGAAAAGGAAAAGCAGAGAAATAAGTTGATGAGAAAAATTTCAATTTTTTTTCATGTGTGCATTAAAAAATAATTAAATGCGCGACAAGTTTTACCCTTCCGGAGGATCAATTCTTGCCAGATGCTTCATGAGATACTCCCCACCTTAGTACCTGTGAAGCCCCCGTTACTGCCCCCACTATGCTAGTACTAAGACCCTTATTATTGAAATGGTTGTAAACTTTATTGGATTTCTAATTCGAGTTTATGGCTCTGCTCCGAGCTACCTGGAGATTGCACATGCCTGGTTTAGAGTAGGTTAGGGGTTATGGGGATTTTTATGAGAACGGTAGGGTCAAGCTCGTGTTTATTTAAGGTACGGTCAAAAAGCCGGCGCTCCAAATGAAAGGATTCTGGGGGGTTAGTTGGTTGGTACAGGTGGAAGGCCGTAGGGGGACACGAAAAATGCCCCTACGGATTGCCAAGGGCTATTACGGGTGGAAGGCAGTCTGGGATAGAATCAACCATCATCCCGACGGAGTGCCAAAAACTTTACGATTTGTTACGGGTGGAAGGCCGCACGGGGTAAATCCAGCCCTTACCACGGCGGATTGCCAAGAATTAAAAATACAATTACGGGTTAGTGAGTGAAAATATTACCGTTTACGGTTAGTGTTTAAGGTCTTCTAGCCCCAGGAATCCAGGAGAATCACCCGAGAGAATAATACCGCAGAAGGAAAAGTCTTTGATAATCAGAATTAATTCAAATTTGAATTAATTCTCCCGCGAAGGGCTTGGCCCATAGGAAGGTAGAGGGATCCACCAATCGACACCCGATCGATTGGTAGGCGTGATTAGGGGGGTCAGCGTCACGCGACACTGACCTCGGAAAATTAGTTACGTCTCAACCGTGAAAGAGGAGACACGCGAAAAATAGAGTGGACACGTGAGTGATACAGTGCACCACCCAGGACACCCGGACAATTAGCTGCAGCCAGGATGGTCCTGAAGAGAAAGAGGAAGGCAGCGAGAAAATCTACAATGAGTTTTTACGGTTTTATTTAAAGATTTTTCCCCTTTTTGGCGGCTCTCCAATAATTATTGGCGGTTATGAGATTTTTCCGAGCCATGGAATAAGCATCGGTTGTGTCCCCCAAATTTTGGGTGGTTTTTGGAGGTTTGTAGAGGGAATTTTCCGAATAACTTCGGCCTGTGTTATCCCCCAGTGCGGTTGGGAGGTTATTGGTGCGATTTTGTAGGATTTTGAGGGTATTTTTATGCTAATTTTGGTGAAATTGTTCACGGCCAACGAAAAGGCCAGTGGTTCTCCCTCGTGGTGCCATCGAGGCAGCCATCGAGTGGCTACGTGCAGCAGGTGGGGAATCGCGCATTAAATTTCCTCGTGGTTATTAATTGATGCAACGGGGTTAATTATATACACTTATACATAAAATTTTATGGGATGGTGGGGAATAGTGTCCAGAACAATATTGTTCTGGGTTTTCCAGAATCTGCTCGGCGGATTCCGAGTTATCGAATTTTTCAGAGAAGTTGAATTTACGGTGGTGGATTTCTCCTCGCTGCTAACCGCGCAGCGAGGCATAGTGCTCTCTCTCTCTCTCTCTCGCTCACTCGTTGATAATATTTCGGTTATTCCTTGGATTATCGCCGATCGATAATCCTTGAGGCCGCATTCCGAGGGGATTATTCTATACGAGTGTCGGATAGTCAATAAAATATTTCGTATTTTGTTAAATGATTTATGTTCGCTGCGATTTAATGGGACCCTTGGAATTGTATTTAGGATTTTGTGCGAAAATTCATATTTCGCGATAATTGAGGAGGAGAATTAAATTTATATTTGGGAGTTTGAGGAAACGTTTACATTTCGAGAAAGTGGAAAAGACTAATAAAATTTTGGGAATAGAGTATCTCAATAGATATTTGTGTAATTAATTATTATTCTTGTACTGAATTTTGACATGAATAGCGGAATACGTAAGGACAATGTTTTTGTTGCATTAGTTTATTTCTCGCCTCCTTTTTCCTTTTTTTTGGTAATTTTCCCGATTTTTGCAGTAACCTTGCCCGCATCTACGATCCACCTCTCTCCACAACCGGCATACTGAGCGACCCCAGGACCGTCACCTTTCCCCAAAAGCCTAATTAACCTTTCCGTTCTCTTCAGGTTTCCTTTTTGATTTTAAAGTATAGTTTTAAGTTAGTGTTTTAGGAGTTTGAGGTTCGATTTTCGATGTGACGGATATCGAGGTTAGTTAAGTTTAGGATTAAGGACTTTTTCCGGTTTGGTAATTCCGGTCAAAAATTACCTGGCGCCTATTGCTTTAAATTTTAGCAGGTTTTATTAGGCTCAGGGGAAGTAGGGCGAAGGTAATGGGCATTTTCGATTCCCCGTGAAAATGTGACGTTACAAGCTTTATAAACCGACCACTGTTTCGGCTTGCACTTCTCCATCCATTGACTGGTCACATATTCAAGGAAGTTGTCCATTCGTTGTTTTACTTGTGGATCAGTTATCTTCCTCTGAATCTCAGCGAATACATTTTGAATGAACTTCCCTGGGAGAAAGGCAAGTTCGAGAATCAAAACCAAGGAGCTCTGTACTCCATTGACAATTTGCTTCTCTTCGTCGTTGATTTTTTCATTTTTCCTGTAGCGTTTCAGAGCTTTCTTCTTATATGCCTGTCTAATCATCGCCTAGAATAATGGTGTCACGACAAAAGCTACGAATATTATTGTTTTTCCGCGATTTTGAATACCTGATCGAGATGGAATTTGCACAGTACGAGAGATGCGGAGGGTACGACCTGTAACAATGCGTTCCTCTCTGCATCTTCAAAATCCATGTGCACTTTCATTTTTTTCGTCAATTCTGGGGCTAATGCTTTGAAGACATATTCAAAAACCAC